CAAAAGGGCGGGGGGGGGGGAATAGGCGGGGGAGAAGTTGAAGAGGAGGCAAGTGCAGCAGGGCAGGACAAGCATGAGGCCCTCACCTAACAACAGTGCAGTCCTGGCCTAACAAATGCAACCAGGACTACCGAAGCTGCCATTGTTAAGCAGTGTGGTTTCACCTAATGACCACATTGCTTAGCGACAGAAATTCCATTCTGGGATTACCTGTATTTTTATTCTAATGCTGATTTCTCTTTGGACGCTTCTGGTTTTGTTCTATTGTCATCAGTTTATCCTTTCTGTCCTTTGACTTGATATGTACTTTAGACTGCTTTTGCTTTAAGAGGCTTGCCCTCTGCTATAGAATTAGAAATCTTTTATGCGGCACCAGAGCAAAGAAAGTGAACACTATCCAACCATACTGGATGAGTAGATTACTGGTAGTTTTTAAAAGATTTATTTTAGCAATGTAAGCATGTCACATTTACTCAATCATTCAAACCATACATACCAAAAGACCCTTTTTGTCATTGGCCAAGCAATGAGGATGCCCTTAAGCCCTTCCCCTTGAGGGGCGGGGAAAGAAGTTCCACTTTGCAAACTAGTAAAAACCTCAAGATGCTCAGCTCAACCTGTAATGTAGGCACCTCTTTAATAACAAGCACTGCAAAAGACTAACCAAGATCCTTTGGAGCCATACTGTGAAGTTATTCATCTCAGGTAGAATACAGTTGAGGCTAGGGAATTCTACAGACAGCAAGAGTTCTCTGAATTACTAACATACCATCATGCTATAGAATGAGGATTACCTGCTCATATTTGTCTGGCTGTCTTCCAATATCAACTTCTATGACTGAGAAATGGCCAATGACAGGGTCAGAATGAGAACCTACTGTGTAGGAATGCACCTGGAGAGAGAAATGTGATTAGAGACAGGGATATAGAGATATACCTACACTTGCTTGCATGTAGGTGTATTGTCTATAAGAGCAACAATGTGTTATGATTAATAGATACTTGAGACAAATAACTTTCTGGCAAGTTTGTCCATTTCTAAGCAAAAATTGAACATGAAAAAAGGGTAATAAATAAAGCATGTTTTTAGCTTCACATTTCTTTTCCTGGAAAGAAAATATATGAATGAACATTTAGCTGATTAGAGTTTTAGAGTCAGAATATTTGTTTCAGTTTAGTGAAATGAAAATTTCCGAAGTCATCACCTAAATATTCACTTTGTGTTATTTGATCACCTTGAAAAATATAATAACTAAAAATAAAAATGAAGCTTCTTAATGGTTCAGAACACTAAGAGGAACAATTTTATGTGACACAAAAATAACTCTGAAAACGAAAAGCAAGGAACTCAGAATAGGAACAAATTTTAGATAGAAACATTAGCTTGTATTTCTTCTATTTTGCTCAGCATCTGCTCTCTTGAAGAACTGACACTGACACAAGATGAAGATAAAAAGTGCCCATCTAAACTGATACTACAGGTAGTACCAATGGAGGTGAATATGTATAGCCCAGGGTTTGGTTTACTTAAGATATTTTGGAGGGCTTTAGTTGGTTTATGTGCTACGGAGATGCCATGTGGCTGTAATCGTCTGTTGGTGGTTTCTGAGATGTTTCTGATGTATGGCAGTGTGATCCTTTTCATAGCTTGTGTTGTTGTGTTGTAGTAGGTTGAGTGGTCAGGCCCAGTAACACAAGAAAAAACAGGAGTCATATACAACATACAGTGTAAGGACTGTAACAAACACTATGTAGGACAAACAGGCAGAATGCTGGCAGAGTGCATCCATGAACACCAACTAGCAGTCAGAAGACATGATGAAAACTCCTTAATCTCACAACACATGGATAGACTTAACCATAGTTTTAACTGGGAAACTGTCAGCATTTTAGACCAAGCTAAATCCAAAAATGCAAGGGAATTCTTGGAAGCTTGGTATTCAGACAAGGCAGCAATCAACAGACACATAGATTAACAGCATCTACACACTACTCAAAAGTGAAAAGAAAACAAAAGACCAGAACATCTCCTCACCAGCAATCATCACCCAGATAAGAAGAGATTATCACTAGGCACACAATCAAGTAGTAAACAAGGAACTACCAGAGGAACAAAACAAAACCCCCACCCCCACCAACACTGGCAGGGCACGCCACAGTATATAAATAGAGAGCAAACCCCATCCCATTCTAGCACTTAACATGTTACCCAGCCAGGTAATGAAATGTTTGCAAGAAAAGAACCAAGCTTAGAGAACCCCAAGGAGTCCACTACAGGTAGTCCTTGATTTATGATGGAAATTGGAACCAGAATTTCCATCACTAAGTGATGCGGTTGTAAAGTGCAATTGCATCACTTAGTGATGGCTATCCTTGCAGTCCCAGTTGTCATCGTTAACTGAATCCCACAGTTGTTAGGGAAGGCAACTTCCTGTTGGCTTCCCACAACCATGTCAGTGGGGAAGCTGGCAGGAAGTTACAAGTCCCAGGCAGCTTGCAAGCAAGCCGGCAGGCAGGTAAATGGTTGCCGCTGGGTGGGGGAGGGCACGAGGGGGTGCGTGAGGGTTCAAAGGAGGCGTGGCGAGGCTTGGGGAGGTGTACGGGGGTGGTGCAGCAAGGGTTGGGGAGGGTGCGTGAGGGTGGCATGGCAAGGGTTGGGGAGGGTGTATGAGAGAGGTGCAGTGAGGGTCAGGGAGGGTGTGCAGGGGTCCACAAGCATCTGGTGCAGCACAAGCACAGAGGGGCTGGGGGACAGTGCACAGGCTGGGGAGACTTACCCCAGCGACTTGCAACCTTCCCTGCTGGCTTCCCCATTGACTTTCTGGGGAAGCCGACAATAAAGGTCGCAAATGGTGATCATGTGATTGCAGGGTGCTGCAACCAGTTCTAAGTGTGAGAGAGTTGCAAAATTCCCAGATTGTGATCATATGACCGTGGGACAGCTGGAACTCTGAGGACTGATCATAATCACCATTTGTTCAGCACTGTCGTAACTTCAAACAGTCGCTGAACGAATGGTCATAAGTCAAGGACTACCTATAGTCACTATTAGATGTAGAAAGCAAACATTGGGGAATGAAAAAAAATAATTAAAAATTACAGGGCAAAACAGTTTTACAAATGTAAAATGGTTAGTGGAATAATATGTACTATAGTCCAATAACAATATATAAGATTTGTCTCTACTATTGCTGACACTGATAATAGAAAAGGCAAGAGAAACAATGAAATTATCAAGCTAGAGTTCAGGGGTGCAGAAATAAGAACAGTGGCAAATGAAAAATGGGCAAGTCAAAGGTTACATGTAATTTTGCATCATAGAGATATAAAACCATATATACTTTCAGAGTCTCCTTAAAGAAGCTGCATCTTTTTTGGGACTTGCACAGTAGATATTCAATACCCCCAAAATATGCTTTTGAGTTAAAAAGCCACTGACAGCTCCCAACATCTGCTATAAAAAGCTTGTTCACATGGCCTTAACTCAAACATGTATCTTCCTGGGATCATGGTATTACTATGTGAGCTCAGAAAAAGATGCTGTTTCTGTAAGGAGACATTGACAGGTGTTGTATGTGTGACCATGCCCACTATGAAGCACCTTTTCTGCTTTGGATCTGAAGTACAGCACATCCCTAATATGATATATGCCTATAAAAATATTTTAGATTAGCAGCAACAATTATTACATAATCTCTCTCTGCCTGGTACTATAAAATTGCAAGTGACTAAAAACAAAAAGGAATAGTGAGGCAGACTTTTGGACACAATGTTAGAAATATCATTATCTCAAAACAATTCACAATCATAGAAACAGGGTTGTCAATGCAAATATGTAATTAAGGGGATTTATAAACAATCATCATTGTTTATAAATCCATCAGTCACTGATTAAATTAGCCCTAGAGTGTTGTATTAGCCGTTTCAGATACAAATCAAGTATGGTAGATTCTAAAGGGAAATGAAGGCTTTGAACACATTTTCATAGGGCTACAGTACATGAAATAAAACTAATATACTTCAGTGGGCCAGCCAGATATCATGCTGCCTGTAGATAAAATCTCAAAACAATGTTTTCTAATTCTCAGTGAAAAAGTAATAAGGTCATCAAGTGGGAGACAGTTTACCATGTAAACCAAAAAGTTGCTTTGTACGTTTTGTCCACAGATCGTTGCTCAGAAGGTTTAATTGCTCACACAGATAACAATTTTGTGTCTCAGGAGGTAAAGTGATACTAACAGACATTTTGCCCACCATTTTGCTGATGTATTTTTCATTGAAAATCGATTGTGAAACATTAATTTGGAGCTCCGTATCTATCCGAGAGAGAGAGAGAGAGAGAGAGAGAGAGAGAGAGAGAGAGAGAGAGAGAGAGAGAGA